ACCCCAAAACCCCTTGATGATAAAATATGCTAGGTTGTATAATTTTCAAGAAATTTTAGTCAATAATCATAATTGCCTGACATAATATGATTTTTATGATCATTTTACGTAATTAAAATCATGTAAAATCTTAAGGAGCCATTACTTGCTGACTACAGCAATAAAGATGAACTTCTGGAAAGAAAAAGATAGATTAGAAGGAAGTAGCCACATCTGGGATATATCTTTCAGTTTATGTTTATCTCATTACTATGTTTACAATAGTTTTCAGGGAAGATATTATTTACAAGAATACCAGAGCTTTCACCATTACAACTTATTGTTATCAGAACATTCTTTTCTATGATGTTTTATGCTATATTGATTAATGTAAATGTGAAGGAAGTATTGTACACTTCTATACCAAGAGAAAATGTTAAGAACTTAATCTTGAGATGTGTTTAAGGTGTAGTCATGTTCCCTCTTTTAATGATAGCAGTGAAATATCTACCTTTAGTGTTTATTGCCCTAGCAAGTAACATGGCACCGCTTTTTACTGCTCTGCTCTCCTACCTGATAATTAGGGAGAAACTTAAACCTCTTGATATTTCTGTACTTTTGATTTCATTTGTTGGTGTAATAATACTTATAACAGGAGCACCTGATACAAAAAATGAACCTTAATAAAACTAAATAGGCATTGGCTTGATGACTGTTCTATTTTTCGCAATTCCTATTATGGGCTCAATTAATAGTATCAACTAGCACTCAATGAGAGATTTCAATGATTTTACGACTGGAACATATGTCAATCTTATATTACTTGTTCTCTTCGTACCCTACATTTACATATTTGAGGATGGTCTTATAATAATGAATCGATTTGAATACTATGACTATTTACAATTTATACTACTTGGTGGCACGTCAGTTTGCATTGGATTAGCCAGAAAACGAGCTCTACAATATCTTGAGCCAGGCAAATTAGGAGGTATAAACTTCTTCTAGTCAATTATCCAACTCATGATTGATATCTTATTCTTTGGATTTGCTTTTGCTTTTCAGTAGCTGATTGGAATAGTTATAATTTTTACGGCTAACATAGTTAAGATGATTATCTGGATAAGAAAAATGAGAAATGAAAAACAACTACCAAGTAAGATTTGAATTTGTAAAAAATTTGTAAATATGTCAATCTTAAGATTAAATATTGAGTTATGGGGTTTTGGGGTTTTGGGGTTTTGGGGTTTTGGGG